GGTGAGATATGGTTATTGGGATGGTGTGTGGGGATGGTTTGTTGTTGGGAGAGTGAAGAAATTTGGGTGGTTGGTGAGATATGGTATATGGGAGTGGTGGTGTGGGGATGGTTTGGGTGGTTGGTGAGATATGGTATGAATGGGAGATGGATGGTTGTGGGTAGGACCATTCAATTCAAATAGGTTTGTTGTTGGGAGAGTGAAGAAATTTGGGTGTTGGTGAGATATGGTAATACTGGAGTGGTGGCTGTGGGATGGTTTATTGGGAGTGAGATTTGGTGTTGAGAACTATGGGTATATGGAAGTGGGTGGTGTGGGATGGTTTGGTGGTGGTGAGATATTGGTGATGATGGGAGTTGGGTGGTGTGGGAGGTTGGTGGGAGGTGGTTTGGGTGGTTGGAGTTGGTAAGGGGTGGGGTGTGGGGATGGTTTCTGTTGTTGGAGAGTGAAGGAATAATTAGGTGGTTGTGTAGAGATATGGTGGATAGGAGTGGTTGGTGGGGATGGTTGGTGGTTGGATTGAGGAGTTGGATGGTTGGAGATGGGGTGTGGGGAGTGGGTGGTGTGTGGGATGGTTGTGTGTTGGGAGAGGGAAGTAGAAATTTGGGTGTTGGTGAGTGATATCGGTATATGGGAGTGGTGGTGTTGGGGATGGTTTGGGGTGGTTGGTGAGATATGGTATTAGGGAGTGGTGGATTGTGGGGTGGTTGTTGTGGGAGAGTGAAGAAATTTGGGGTGGTTGGTGAAGATATGGTATATGGATGTGTGATGGTTGGTGGTGGAATGTATGGGAGGTGGTGATTGTGGGTTGTTGTTGGAGAGTGAAGGAAATTGGTGGTTGGTGAGATATGGTATATATGGGAGTGGTGGTGTGGGATGGTTTGGTGGTTGTGTAGAATATGGTATTGGAGTGGTGGTGTGGGGATGGTTTGTGATGTGGATGAGAATTGGGGTTGCTGAGATGAATGGATTGGGTGGGTGGTTGGTGACGAATGGTATATGGAGTGGTGGGTGTGGGATGGTTTGTGTGTTGGAGCAGTGAAGAAATTTGTGGGCTGGTTGGTTGAGTATATGGTATATGGGAGTGGTTGGTGTGGGGATGGTTTGGTGGTTGGTTGAGATAGTGGTGGAGGTGTGGGAGTTGGTGGTGTGGATTGGGTGTGGGGGAATGGTTTGTTGGTTGGGAGAGTGAAGAAAGTTTGGGTGGTTGGCTTGAGACTATGGTATATGGAGCTAGGTGGTGTGGGAGTGGTTTGCGGGTGTTTGGTGAGATATGGTATATGGGAGATGGTGGTATGTGTGGGATGGTTTTGTTGTTGGGGAGAGTGAAGTAAATTTGGGTGGTATGGGCTCGAGAGTATGGATTTGATGGTGTTGGGGATGGTTTGTGGTTGGTGAGTATGGTGATATGAAGTGATTGGGTGGTGTTGTTTGGCCGAGAGTTAAATTTGGGATGGTGTGGTCGAGTATGGTTATTGGGTGCTGGTTTGGATGGTTGGTGAGATATGGTTTATATGGATGTGGTGTCGTGGGTGATGTTTGTTGTTGGAGCATCTGCGGAGTAGAAATTGGTTGCGAGAGTTTGAAGGTTGTGGGGGGTTGGTGGTGAACGAAGGGTGAGCAGTTTTGATGGTGTGGGGATGGTTTGGGTGGTTGGTGAGATATGGTATATGGGAGTGGTGGTGTGGGGATGGTTTGTTGTTGGGAGAGTGAAGAAATTTGGGTGGTTGCGTGAGAGTATGTTGAATGGGGTGGTGGCATGGTTTGCTTGGGAATTGGAAATTGGGTGTTGGCTGAGATTGATGGTATGGGATGGGGGTGGGGGAGAATTGTGGTTGTGAGGTTGTTGATTTGCGAGTTTGTTTGTTGGGAGAGTGAAGAAATTTGGTGGTTCGGTGACAGATATGGTATGATGGGTGCGTGTGTTGTGGGGAGTGAGTAATTTGGGTGAGTTGCTGGAGATTTGTTATGGGATGGTGGGGATGGTTTGTTGTTGAGAGAGTGAAGAAATTTGGGTGGTTTGCTGAGATTTTGAGGATGGATGTGGGGATGGTTTGTTGTTGGAGAGTGAAGAAATTTGGGTGGTTGCCTGAGAGTTTTGATTGGTGTGGGGATGGTTTTGTGGTTGGTGAGAGGTAAGGAAATGGTGGTGTGGGGATTGGTTGATGTTGTTGGGAGAGTGAAGAAATTTGGGTGGTGTGCTGAGAGTTTTGATGGTGTGGGGATGGTTGTTGTTGTTGGGAGAGTGAAAGAAATTTGGGTGGCTTGCTGAGGAGTTTTGATGTGTTGGGGATGTTGTTTGGGATGGTTGGTTGGATGTTAGTTGGAGAGTGAAGAAATTTGGGTGGTGTTGCTTGAGAGTTTTGATGGTGTGGGGATGGTTTGTTGTTGGGAGAGTGAAGAAATTTGGGTGGTTGCTGAGAGTTTTGATGGTGTGGGGATGGTTTTGTGTGGGAGAGTGAAGAAATTTGGGTGGTTGCTGAGAGTTTTTGATGGTGTGGGGATGGTTTGTTGTTGGAGTGTTGAAGAAATTTGGGTGGTTGCTGAGAGTTTTGATGGTGTGGGAAAGGATGGTTTGTTGTTGGGAGAGTGAAGAAATTTGGGTGGTTGCTGAGAGTTTTAATGGTGTGGGGATGGTTTGTTGTTGTGGAGAGTGAAGAAATTTGGGTGGTTGCTGAGAGTTTTGATGGTGTGGGGATGGTTTGTTGTTGGGAGAGTGAAGAAATTTGGGTGGTTGCTGAGAGTTTTGATGGTGTGGGGATGGTTTGTTGTTGGGAGAGTGAAGAAATTTGGGTGGTTGCTGAGAGTTTTGATGGTGTGGGGATGGTTTGTTGTTGGGAGAGTGAAGAAATTTGGGTGGTTGCTGAGAGTTTTGATGGTGTGGGGATGGTTTGTTGTTGGGAGAGTGAAGAAATTTGGGTGGTTGCTGAGAGTTTTGATGGTGTGGGGATGGTTTGTTGTTGGGAGAGTGAAGAAATTTGGGTGGTTGCTGAGAGTTTTGATGGTGTGGGGATGGTTTGTTGTTGGGAGAGTGAAGAAATTGGGGGTGCTGAGAGTTTTGATTGGTGTTGGGGATGGTTTGTTGTTGGGAGAGTGAAGAAATTTGGGTGGTTGCTGAGAGTTTTGATGGTGTGGGGATGGTTTGTTGTTGGGAGAGTGAAGAAAATTTGGGTGGTTGCTGAGAGTTTTGATGGTGTGGGGATGGTTTTGTTGTTGGGGGAGAGGAAGAAATTTGGGTGGTTGCTGAGAGTTTTGATGGTGTGGGGATGGTTTGTTGTTGGGAGAGTGAAGAAATTTGGTGGTTGCTGAGAGTTTTGATGGTGTGGGATGGTTTGTTGTTGGGAGAGTGAAGGAAATTTGGGTGGGTTGCTGAGAGTTTTGATGGGGGTGGGATGGTTTTTGTTTGGAGAGTGAAAATTTGGGTGGTTGCTGAGAGTTTTGATGGTGTGGGGATGGTTTGTTGTTGGGAGAGTGAAGAAATTGGGTTGGTCTGCTGAGAGTTTTGATGGTGTGGGGATGGTTTGGTTGTTGGGAGAGTGAAGAAGAAATGGGTGGTTGCTGAGAGTTTTGATTGGTGTGGGGATGGTTTGTTGGTTGGAGGAGAGTGAAGAAATTTGGGTGGTTGCTGAAAGTTTTGATGGTGTGGGGATGGTTTGTTGTTGGAGAGGTGAAGAAATTTGGGTGGTTTCTGGAGTTTTGATGGTGTGGGGATGGTTTGTTGGTGGGAGAGTGAAGAAATTTGGGTGGTTGCTGAGAGTTTTGATGGTGTGGGGATGGTTTGTTTGGGAGAGTGAGAAATTGGGTGGTTGCTGAGAGTTTGTGATGGTGTGGGGATGGTTTGTTGTTGGGAGAGTGAAGAAATTTGGGTGGTTGCTGAGAGTTTTGATGGTGTGGGGATGGTGTTGTGTTGGGAGAGTGAAGATTTGGGTGGTTGCTGGAGAGTTTTGATGGTGTGGGGATGGTTTGTTGTTGGGAGAGTGAAGAAATTTGGGTGGTTGGTGAGAGTTTTAGGTGTGGGGATGGTTTGTTGTTGGGAGAGTTGAAGAAATTTGGGTGGTTGCTGAGAGTTTTGATGGTGTGGGGATGGTTTTTGTTGGGAGAGTAGAAGAAATTTGGGTGGTTGCTGAGAGTTTTGATGGTGTGGGGATGGTTTTGTTGTTGGGAGAGTGAAGAAATTTGAGGTGGTTGCTGAGAGTTTTGATGGTGTGGGATGGTTTGTTGTTGGGAGAGTGAAGAGGAAATTTGGGTGGTTGCTGAGAGTTTTGATGGTTGTGGGGATGGTTTGTTTGGGAGAGTAAGGAGGTGGGAGTGATGGGGGGGTTTTTTGTTGGGAGATGAAGAAATTTGGGGTTTGCTGAGAGTTTTGATGTGTGTGGGGATGGTTTGTTTGGGGAGAGTGAAGGAAATGGGGTGAGGAGTGTGTGGGGATTGGTTTGTTGTTGGAGAGTGAAGAAATTTTGGGTGGTTGCTGAGAGTTTTTGATGGTGTGGGGATGGTTTGTTGTTGGGAGAGTGAAGAAATTTGGGTGGTTGCTGAGAGTTTTGATGGTGTGGGGATGGTTTGTTGTTGGGAGAGTGAAGAAATTTGGGTGGTTGCTGAGAGTTTTGATGGTGTGGGGATGGTTTGTTGTTGGAGAGTTGAAGAAATTGGGTGGTTGTGAGAGGTTGAGTTGAATGTGGGATGGTTTGTTGTTGGGAGAGTGAAGAAATTTGGGTGGTTGCTGAGAGTTTGATGGTGTGGGGATGGTTTTGTTGTTGGGGAGAGTGAAGAAATTTGGGTGGTTGCCTGAGAGTTTTGATGGTGTGGGATGGTTTGTTTTGGGGATGAAGGAAGAAATTTGGTGGTTCTGAGAGTTTTGGATGTGGGGGATGGTTTGTTGTTGGGAGAGTGAAGAAATTTGGTGGTTGCTGAGAGTTTTGATGGTTGGGGATGGTTTGTTGTTGGGAGAGTGAAGAAATTTGGGTGGTTGCTGAGAGTTTTGATGGTGTGGGGATGGTTTGTTGTTGGGAGAGTGAAGGAGGTGGAGGTGTGGGGATGGTTTGTTGTTGGGAGAGTGAAGAAATTTGGGTGGTTGCTGAGAGTTTTGATGGTGTGGGGATGGTTTGTTGTTGGGAGAGTGAAGGAGTGTGAGAGTTATGTTGGGATGTTTTGTTGTTGGGAGAGTGAAGAAAATTTGGGTGGTTGCTGAGAGTTTGATGTGGGGGATGGTTTGTTGTTGGGAGAGTGAAGAAATTTGGGTGGTCTGTTGAGAGTTTATTGGGGTGTGGGGATGGTTTGTGTTGTGGAGAGTGAAGAAATTTGGGTGGTTGCTGAGAGTTTTGATGTGTGTGGGGATGTTTGTTGTTGGGAGAGTGAAGAAAATTTGGGTGGTTGCGAGAGTTTTGATGGTGTGGATGGGTTGTTGTTGGGGAGAGTGAAGGAGGTGGAGGTGGTGGGGATGGTTTGTTGTTGGGAGAAGTGAAGAAATTTGGCGTGGTTTGCTGAGAGTTTTGATGGTGTGGGATGGTCTTCTGTTGGGAGAGTGAAGAAAATTTGGTGTGTTGCTGAGAGAGTTTTGATGGTGTGGGGATGGTTTGTTGTTTAGGGAGAGTGAAGAAATTTGGGTGGTTGCTGAGAGTTTTGATGTTGTGGGGATGGTTTGTTGTTGGGAGAGTGAAGAAATTTGGGTGGTTGCTGAGGAGTTTTGATGGTGTGGGCTGATGGTTTGTTGTTGGGAGAGTGAAAGAAATATTTGGTGGTTGCTGAGAGTTTTGATGGTGTGGGATGGTTTGGTGTTGGAGAGATGAAGGAGTGGAGGTGTGGGATGGTTTTGTTGTTGAGAGTGAAGAAATTTGGGTGGTTGCTGAGAGTTTGATGTGTGGGTAGGATGGTTTGTTGTTGGGAGAGTGAAGAAAGTGTGCTGAAGTGATGGTGTGGGGATGGTTTGTTGTTGGGAGAGTGGAAGGAGGTGGAGGTGTGTGGGGCATGGTTTGTTGTTGAGGAGAGTGAAGAATTTGGGTGGTTGCTGAGAGTTTTGATGTGAGATGTGGGGATGGTTTGTTGTGGGAGAGTGAAAAATTGGAGTGGTTCTTGAGAGTTTTGATGGTGTGGGGATGTTTGTTGTTGGAGAGTGAAGAATTTGGTGGTTGCTGAGAGTTTTGATGGTGTGGGATGGTTTGTTGTTGGGAGAGTGAAGAAATTTTGGGTGGTTGCTGGAGAGGTTTTGATGGTGTGGGGATGGTTTGTTGTTGGGAGAGTGAAGAAATTTGGGTGGTTGCTGAGAGTTTTGATGGTGTGGGGATGGTTTGTTGTTGGGAGAGTGAAGAAATTTGGGTGGTTGCTGAGAGTTTGATGGTGTGGGATGGTTTGTTGTTGGGAGAGTGAAGAAATTTGGGTGGTTGCTGAGAGTTTTGATGGTGTGGGGATGGTTTGTTGTTGGGAGAGTGAAGAAATTTGGGTGGTTGCTGAGAGTTTTGATGGTGTGGGGATGGTTTGTGTTGTTGGTGAGAGTGAAGAGGTGGAGGGTGTGGGATGGGTTTGTGTTGTTGGAGAGTGAAGAAATTTGGGTGGTTGCTGAGAGTTTTGATGGTGTGGGGATGGTTTGTTGTTGGGAGAGTGAAGGAGGTGGAGGTGTGGGGATGGTTTGTTGTTGGGAGAGTGAAGAAATTTGGGTGGTTGCTGGAGAGTTTTGATGGTGTGGGGATTGGTTTTTGTTGGGAGAGTGAAGAAATTTGGGTGGTTGCTGAGAGTTTTGATGGTGTGGGATGGTTTGTTGTTGGGAG